TTCTCGCGGTTGTGGTTGGTGAAACATGTGCCTCTTTAAAGGGGGGGGACCTACATTAAAAGAAACCCCCGGCCGGCCATGGGGGGGTGGGGAATTCGGGGAGTTGAAGTCCACTCATCTTAAAGTGGCCAAGTTTGGACAACACTGCCTTAGGGAATACAAGTGCTCTGTATTAAACCTCAAAGAGTGGTAAGCAAGCTGGGATCCTGCATTGCTGGAAATCTCTGGCATGCTCTCTCGCCTTGTGGAGGTGAGAAACGAAAGACCTGGATTGCGAAACATAAAAGAGGTTGAAAAACCAATCCCCCCCCCCATTTTTTTCTCCTTTTCCCTTTGGAGCAAGACGCGATTGCGTGGGATTGCGTGCAGATCCACAGGCAAGCCTGTAAAACGAGTGGCGCTTATTAAATTGCACTTACTGCGGTGCCAAGTTCAGATTCCTAATTAGCCACAAACCTAATTGGATGAACTAGTTTCATAGCTCGGTGTAAATCTACTTTGCAGGGTTGTTGGAGACAGGGAGGTGAAATTAAAAGTTGTATGGGTGTAAGTGTTTGGATTTCCTATAATATGACGGGAACTTAGGTTTGCTGTAGCCCTTTCAAGCCTTTAATGGTGGATCCCTGTATGATGGCCAGCCCCTTCTTTTAAAGTAATTTCATGCTTAGATGAAAAAGGGTGTGTGACCACTCTGGTATTTCAGGTTCTCAGGCACAACACACTTATTAATCAAAGAGGCACTGCCTGAATAAAGGGTTGTGCCCTTTCTAAAACTTTGTTTTAAAATGGTGGATTTTATGAAGCAAAAAGGCAGTGTTGCAAAAGGTGAAGTTCCTCTTGTGTAGGCCGTAATGGCCCACAAATACAGTTCTTTAAAAAACAATGAAGTGTGCAGAGGGACTTTTTAAAAACTAATTTTTGTTCCCTTATCTCTGACCTTCAGGCTTCAGATATGAGATTTAAGAAGGAGCTGGAATTTTTTTGGCATAAAAATGGCTGAGTTTTTCCGATTAAGCCATTTTGCTACCTGCAGAACCACTACAAACGTTTCTTACAGGTCTTTAGTTGCACTTCCCAATGGTGAACCTTAAACAAGCCTTCTCTGACCTGGCACTCTCCTGTTGCATTTTACTCTTGCTCTGGTAATCCTCACCCCATGCGGTCAAATTCCAAATATATCTGATAGGTATCAGGGTGGAAAAACTGTTCAAACTCTTTGCTCTATTAAATTATTCTCAGGATAATCAACTCTAAACTTATGTAGAGGAGAAAAAGTGTTTTATGTGTACCTGTGTGCCAACAGCAAATGCCAAAGGTGATGTATAGTGTAAGATGTGTCTAGTAATGTTGAAAAGGTAGCAGGCTACGCATTTGCATAGGTATAAATCTGTGATTGAGATGAAACTTGTTAGGAACAAGGGTGTAGTGGAAGGAAGTGGAAGAAATCTTTCTAAAGTTATATTATTTTCCAGAAAGTAGCTGAAAGAATAGAAGCAAGAAGAAATATGCACTCGTCTTCTCACCTTGATCAGTGCCTGTGAATAGATACACCACTGCCCTAATGAATGAGATTTTCTTAGGAAAAGGAATGAAGATGGCTGGGTTTAAGACAAGCCGTTTTAGTAGCCTGTCTAATCCACAGCATCTCACGGAACACAAACCACTGTAATTGTTTATCGAGTAACATGGAACAAGCATTAATCCCTCCTCTGTTTTTGAATTAAGCAAAAGATACTGTGCAATCGACCACAGTGGGATGAATTGCAACATCTTGTGGTTTTGAGATGGGGCATTGCCTTGCCTGTGCAGGCACAACAAACAGCCCGGAATGAGCCTCTGAACATCTGCAGGAAGTAAGGAAGATTGCCACGCCAGCATTTTCAAAACATTGCTGCTAGTCTTGGGAAGCTCTCTGAAAGCTTTGGTGATGGCCTCAGCAAATAATAATAATAATCATAGCATTGACAAGTTCACCATCAGTCCATTGTGCAAGGCAGCTTTACTTGGAACAGCTTCCATCTTGCAACGATATCTTTAACACCATCAGACAACAACATCTGCCTGTCCCAGGTCCTAAGGAAGGACTTGATAGGTAGATAAAAATGCCAAACCCTGTCTAAACATCTGGCTAACTGTACAGCCAACAATAACAACAAATTAAACTTGTATGCTGCCTGACTCTCAACAACTCTGGGTGGCTCACAACAATCAAAGAGATTACAATAAAATCAATAAAAAATAAAAGATGACAAACATGATGAAGCAAAGGGTCTTACTCTCTCGCCAAAGGCCCAGGTGAAATATAAAATTGGACAACTTCAAACTGCTTGTAACTTAGCTCAAAAATGTTTAAGGGAGTAGAACATTTCATCCCTTAGTGCACTTTGTAGGACCCAAGACCTTGCTTGGTTTAATTCTTTTTAGTAAATGACCCATTGCGAATCAGATTAACAGAAGGGGGTGCTTTGAAGACTAGAAGGAAGCAACAAAGAGTTACTCTACATTCACAGATACATGCTCAAAATGACCTTGTGTAGCTTCACAGTTCTTGATCTTGAGGGTGAGGGGAATGTTTTGCTCCTGGTAAAGAAATTACTGCGTTAAATACAGAAAATTATTCTGTGCGGTAGTCAGAGACTTAGGCTGTTGAGATCCAGGCCCAGGTCCCCACTCAAATATAATTCATTTGGGTGAGCTTGGATCAGACATCCAAATTTATTTTGCTGGGCTTCTCGAAGAATAAAAAAGTGCAAAGGGAAGAACCGTGTACGTTCCTTGTACTAAAGATAGTATAGAACTATAATGAGAATTATTTCTGAATTGACATGTTCGTTGTACCTGTTTCTTAGAAGACTTGAAACAGTCTTATGCCACATTGGATTCTGAATTTTGCAAGTTGAAATCCGACTCCTTTGGAGGCCGTGTGGGTTGTGGAAGTGCTGTTCTACCTGGTATTATCTGTTTGGACAGCTGTTCCATAAGGCTTCCCCCTCACCCAACCCTGTTGTCTTTGCCGAAAGAAGACACTTGGGGGTGAATGTGCAAGTCATGTGGTTCCCGTTGGGCCCTCAGATCTGGAAGGATTGGTGGTGTTTCCTCCCGTGTACAGGATGCATTTTAGTGGCCTCTGTTGCTTGGCATTGCAAAGTCTAATCTTCTGCAGGTCTGGCTGGAAAAGCAATCCTCATTTCAACCCTGCCTTGAATTGTCATAAACCTGCTTGTGAAAGGTGGCCTTAATACCACACAGATATGCAAAGGCGCAAGAGTAGCTTTTTTTTATAGTGTAGAAGTTCCTAGTCTGTTTGCACGTGACTCCAGTTTGCATCTCTTTCCTCCCTGAATGGTATCTTAGCTTATTTCTTTCCTCCCTCGGGAGTTGCTGGGCAGTTTTCAATCTTCCCCCCTCCTCCTGCTCGTCCTCCTCCTGCTGCCACCGGCGACGTGCAAGTCTCTGTTCCAGCTGTGGCGGCCTGGCCACGTGGGCTTGGAGGCGAGGCGGGGGGCGGGCTTGAAATGTGTGCTGGCAAGCAGGCTTAAAGCAGCCTGGGCTGCTGCTAATTATCTTGTGCTCCAGAAGGCGGCCTGCTGGCTCAGCTGGAAGGTCCTCTCACCTGAAACAGAAACAAGGTATGCAGGAACCAGGAAAGGTGGGAAGGGAAGGCGAGCTTGGTAGGCTTAGCTTACAGTGCTGCGTTCCCAGCAGTGAATAAAGTGGGAATGATTTCCAGCTCTTACAGTTCCAAAAGTTGAGTAAAAGGCATTGTGATGATTTGACGGCACCCAAATTTAGGCTGGGTTTTGCTTGTTTGCAAGGCCATCTTGCTTTGTCTAGTCTGAGATATGTTAGCCAAAACCTCCTTTACTTTTGAAACTTTTTAAGGAAACAGATGTGTTCATAGGGTGGGGATTTTGCAAGCATTCTGTGCACAGCAGAATTTTTCTTAGAAAATACGTGCTGGGGTTATCTAGAAAGAGTTAGTGGAAATTCTTGTATAATCATGGATTGATGATCACTGAAGCATAAGAGTCAGCCTCGTCAAAGTACTGCTGCCTAAACTCTCCACTGAATACTATTGAAGGAGCAACTAGCAACATACATTTGATTTGATTTAATTGCAAAGTTATACAGTCCAGTAAAAACCAAAGAATCTTAACCTTGTTCTCTTCAGAGAAGCCCGCATGACACTTCTTAAACTTGTTATACCCTTTCTTATCCAGATTAAGACACAGCTTTCTGAGTTAAAGTGTTTATTTTGATATCCATTTATTACTGTTCTTCTTTATTTGTTTTGTTGCTCTGTGCTTTGCTTTTTTTTACATGGAGGTTTTATTTGTATGTTACTGGATTTTATTGATTTGGGCTTGGCACTTTAACTACGGATTGCCTTCAGTTAAATAAATAAATAATGGTCTGGGTCATTTAACTTAGCCTTCAAGTTTAGCTTTGTTAGGGTTAGGGTTGCGGAATATGTCAAGTTTTAGACCAGCAGTTGGATATCTGGACCTATTCCCGTTTATTTTTTTGTTCTCATTTACTATGCTTTGTATGATATATAGTCTTGGTCAATACTTATAAAACTAAATCCTTTTTTAAATTATGGGGAGCCCCATCTTCAGAGATAGCAGTTTACAATGCTGAAAACTTTGTGTAATCAGAAAATGGATAGGATACTTTTCTTCTGAATGCTTATTTTGGGTGTGGGAGGAATACCTTAGTTAGGGAGGGGGGAGTCTTTCAAACTCTTGATTGTTTGCCTACTATCTGAAATTGCACAGCTCCATGAATTAGATGTTTCAGAACCATGGGCTTAAATCCAAGAATTACTGTAGGAAACATTAATTGAACAACTGCAGGAAAGCAGGCTCAGAACTTGAATAAACAAGTCAAAAATAAAGATGAAAATGCTTGCAATGTAAGTAAGATCCATGGGTTTCTGTGTTTGGCTTGTTGTAAACTTTGGAGGTAACTGAAGGGTGCAGCTGACCAACTATTCCATTTTTGTGGGTCTCTGCAAACCCAGGTTTGGCTTGAAAAGCAAGCAGGTGTTGAAGACTGTGGTGATATGAGGGTTGGGGGAGACACCACAAAGTTGTCACAGTGCTGCTCAACACCGTGCGGTGCTTTTGCAGACTAGAAGTGGGGGTTCATAACCTGCCACTGAGGAGGTGTCAGTTGTGGCAAAATCTGGTGGCCTTTGGAGCTAAGCAAAGAGGCTTCTTTCACCCCAACCCACAAGAGCTGCTTTGAGTCAGGAGATCTGGTATCATAACGTTGAGCATTTCAGTCTTGGGTGGCCAGAATTAGTAATGCTGAAAATACTTGCCAGTTAACTAAAAAAAAAAAAAGGCTGGGAGAAACCCACCAGTTAAGATGTGTGAGAGCCCCAAATGAGCAAACCAGCTCTGAAAATTGAAACCACTATAACATCTGTGACCAGTCTCCCCTTCCAGTGCTGACCTACGACATATCACAGTTTCTGTAGGGGGTTATTTTTCTCCCTGTTTCAGAATTGTCCACGATGAGCCCCCTCCAAGAGAGAAATGGAAGCTTTGGCAGCAAGGAGTCTCTGGACAAGTGTCTGCAGGCAAAGAAGGATTTGGAAGCTGCAATTGCTGAAATTGTCAAAGCTGAAGAGCAAGTTAAAGACAACTGGAAAGAGGTATTTGAAGCAGACTTCAAAACAGGCATCTTGGCTATTCCTGCTTTACAGTCCTAATAAAGGGTTAAGTGGCTGCTAAAAGGGTCTGGCAGCAGAACTTTTATGCAGTAACTTGGCAAAGATTTTCTTTAAGCTTGAGGTTTTATGCAGTTACTTAAATGTAGCCTAGAAAAGCAAGAGATCTTACAGTTGCTCAGAGTATGTAGCTAACTTCTGCAGTGTGAATGCACTGAATCATCAGTAGGTTGTAAAGATAAAGGATTGAGTTGATCTCAACTCCTGGAGACCCCATGGATGGGCCCATGTAGTTTTCTTGGCAGCTGCAGAATAAGACTCCTGCCTATATCCCTTGGATTTCCTAGTGCTGTCCCATCAAAGGGCTAACCAGGTCTGACCCTGTTAACTTTTCTCTAAATCAGTCAAGATCATTTAGTTGTTGCCATCTAAGTGGATATCAAGATGGCATACTCTTCATTTTAGGTACAATGTCATTTTTAAAATACAGCTACTTGTATTGGGTAAATTCCTGCGTAAGAAACAACCAAGTATGATACATCTTTAGAACAGTGTTTCTCAACCTCAGCAACTTTAACATGGGCAGACTTCAACTCCCGGATTTCACACTGGGGAATTCTGGCTGGGGAATTCTGGGAGTTGAAGCCCTTCTACCTTAAAGTTGCTGACGTTGAGAAATACTGCTCTAAGGACTTAAGTAAGCGTAATCAGCTTTCTTTTTAAGAATGAACTTAATGGGTATGAAGTTGCAATTTTTTGTTAGCTTTCAAGGTTCTGCACCCACCTCTGACAATCGGTTAACAAAGGTCAGTGGAAAACAATGATTAACTATGGCAAAATATCTGAGTTCCTTAGAGTCTTGCTTGAGTTCCCATAAGGGTAATACTGCACCCATCACTTTCCAAGCCACTGTCTTGCCAGTGGAGATTGCTGCATTGAATCTTGGTTGATGGAAGGAGTCCTGTCCCTCAGGATCTCGTCTTTCCACCGGGTGGGAGCTCAACACTGCCTGAATTGCAAAATGTGGGTATAGGAATGCGAGGGATCAGAGACCTGGGGTGGAATAGTTAGAGAGGGGGCAATAAGTTCAGCTTCTCTCTTGCAGGTGAAAGCTCAGATTCACAGCTGCATCAGTCGCCACCTGGAATGCCTGCGAAGCCGCGAAGTTTGGTTGCTGGAACAGGTCGATCTCATTCAGCAGTTGAAGGAAGAAGCCTTACAGCAACAAGCGCAACAGCTCTGTTGGGTAAGAGCTAGTGGCCCCCTCAATTCTCTTTCTCCATCCAGAATTACAGGAACTTTGCCTTGAACTTGTGCTGCTTGTTTGGGGCATAAGGACACAGCCTCGTATCTAAACCTTGATGATGCTGGCTCATTCTGTTCCTAGTGAAGTCACATATTTTTGTTTAATTTACAGTTGTTGGGACAATTCAGTTGCCTTATCCGCCAGCTGGAACAGCCTCAAAGCAATGACCTTACAAATCAGATTTCAGCATGTTTTGAGAGGTGAGCCCTCTAACAAGTTTTGAATGACCGTTCAGCTATTTATCTTAGAGTCGTTTTCCACATCATTGTGGGCTGTGACATCACCTTTCTGGTTCTGTCATGCAAAAATGAATGAAGTGTTAGTTTGGGGGATCCTGCTATCTCTGTGTGTGGAAATAGGGCTGGGGATTTGAAGGTTTGATTTCCCTTAACTTCAAGAAGATATACTGTTTTGTGCATAAAGAATAGATAACGTTTTGTTCATTTGAATCATGGCTTATCACCTTTGTTTCTTTCTAATTCTTAACCTTTGCCTTCTCCCCTAAGACTTGGCAGTTTGACTCTCCAGCCTGAAGAAACTTCCATCCTGAACTTTGAGGCTGATGTGCCATTTCTTCGCCAGGCGATCACCTCATTTGGCTCCATTACAACAATGGTGAGTAAAAGGAGCTGTTTTCTGGAGTAGCAGAATGTATGCAATTTGGAAACCTATAATCAAAAGCCAGGATCCTGAAGAAATACTAAGGCTTATGTGGAGACTGGAGTTAATTCCATTTCTTTTAAAATATTTATCTTGAAATACCGCACAACCCTTCCAGTGTTTTTGAGATTCTTCTGTTCCTAAAACAGCTTGGAAAGATGGCAACGTGGAGAGAAAGAAGTGTTGCCTTTCCCTTGCTCTTTATTGTATGTGCACACTCATGACAAATAATCTATGCTTATTTGATGTAAACTTTGTATATTTATTTGAATGAGGTTGCCTGCTTGAGATTCCAAAAGAACTAGAAGAATTTACTCAATTTGTTAATTCTAAAGTTGTGTGAGCAGTTAGCAACCATTAAATCTAATAACTCTGATTTCTTCCTTTAATAGCAAACTTCTGATAAAGAAGATTATGCCCCTTGGATCTCTGTGCAGAACTGTCCTGTGATGACTAGTTTGGAAAAGGTGAATTACAGATTTGTTTATGGGAATTGTAATTGGATGGTGGCAGCAGAATGGGATGCTTTCAAACCTTTTCTCTTGCTCTTGACCAGGAATGCAGAATGCTCCAGGAAGAGATTAATCTCTACAAGAGAACATACATTTTATCTGTAGCAAAATAATTCAAATTCTTAAAAGGCATATGTGGCCGCAGCGGTTGTTGCTTAGAATTCAGGTCTAAAGGAAGAATTATTTCAGAGTCCAGGAATTTTCTGTTGCACAAATACTAGAACCATCTCATCAACAGGGTTGCAGGACTCCTTGGCGAGAGATAGTGTATATTTTCATGGTAGATTTTATCTGGAATTAAACTGACCATAAATTTGCTCCTGATTATTAGCCAAAACCTTTCTGTGGAATGCTTGGTTGCCCACTCTCTGACTGGCTTCTTGGAACCAAATCCGATGGTGCTTGCTGTACACCTTACGTTCCTAGCTACAAGCAGGAGGACTGGCTCTTGAAAACGCATGCTGAGGAGGCCAATCAGGTACTGTTATTTGCTGTCTATATTCATGGAGAGGGAGGGGGACATTTTAGTAATGTTGCAATAGGTGGACCCAAAGAGGTTGAGATGGAGATTACAGAGCCAAATGCTTTCTTCTCCAAGAAATGCTTGCTTAATGGCTGTAAATGCTGGAGGGTCTCTTCCTGTTGTTTGCATTGCAGGATCTTCTGAAATGTACTGGAACTGGTGGGTCCAAAAAGGCTGTTCTAGGAACATGGACAGTGAGATGGGAATTATAGAGCTTAATGCTTTTTTTTCCCCCCTAAGAAGTGATTCCTTAATGGATCTAAATGCCTTGGGTGTCTTTTTCTTCTTAGGATTCAAAGTCTTCTGAAGTGTGTTACTTGGAGAAAGCATGGGGAAATCTGAAAAACTTGGAGAATTGGCTTTTGCAGAACCAGCAAGATGTTCCTGACAGGATGGATGTCCGCCGACGGAAGAGTTCCACTTCCACCATTGCCTCCACCTTGTCCATTGAGAAGATAGATGATTTGGAGATCTTAGAGCAAGAAGACACAGATCTTTCTGAATGGCTACTCGTGCCTCCTGAATCCGAAAACAAGAATGCTTCCGATGAGAAATGGAAATTCATTTTTAAGCCTTTTCGGGAGGAATATAATATGAATGATTGGCTCCCTAAAAGTGATTCCTGCAATAATTGTTGCGGCAGTCAAGCCAAAGGCGTAGAGATAGAGAATCTTGGCAACCTTAAATGCCTTAGTGAGCACCTTGACGTGAGGAAGCTGCCTAGCACCAATGCCTGGCTGCTGCAGCCCACTTTCAAAGTAGAAGATCTATGCAGAGCCAACGAGCCATGTTCTAGTTTTTCCGAGTGTGTGTGTGATGAGAACTGTGAAAAGGAGGCTCTGTGCAAATGGCTTCTTAGGAAAGAAGGCAAGGATAAAAACGGGGTGCCGATAGGGGACGTCTCTGAACCTGAGGAACGTCAGCCTGTGGTGAACATCTGGCTCCATCCTTCTCGACAAGCAGAGGGGGATTTGGCTACCTCTGCAATAAAACAGGATGCCCGTGAGGTGGCGGAACCTCTGAAAGAATTGCTAGGAACCTCATTGTCTTCTTGGCTAGCCAAACAAGAAATCAAAGCTTCCAGTGGAGAAGAGAAAGCAACCAGAGAGGAGGCTGAAGTGAGCCATAAGGGTTCCCTCCTGGAGCTCCTCGCACCCTTCCAGCTCCCTCTCAGCGTAAACAGCTGGATCATGTCTTCAAAAAACGCAGAAATCTCCAGCCAGCCTCCCCCAGAAGATAAATGGCTGCTACGGAAGAAAGCACATGTACGTACAATTCTTACCCACTTGTTGAACCCCCTGAAAGTGAGCTGTAGTGTCATGTGACGGGTTTGTGTTCGCTGGAGGGGGCAGTCAGCCTGCTCATTTTGGTGGTGGTCTGCTGCATGTCGCTTGTTTGGAAATGCAAGATTGAGATGGTAAAACTCCCCAGTCTCACAGAAACCAATTCTGTTTCTTTCAGGACAGTGGCCTTCCTGCAGTTTGTGACCTCTTTGCCTGTATGAACCTGAGTGGAGATAGAGAAAAGTGGCTATATCAGACTCCTTTACAGGTAAAGACATCTCCGTAAAGTTGAACTCTACTCTGGCTGGCGGCTGCTTTTTGGCCTCTTGACTTGCTTCCCAGTCTTAACATTTAATTTTGGACTCCCAGCATGATGTGAACCAGATCTAGCTCAATTCGCTTTTTGGGAAAGTCAAGGTTGGTTAGGCATCCATTATCTATTCTTGGTTGGAAACTAAGCTTTCTGCTTAATTAACCTGTTTGCTTAATTGTAACACCACTCCTGTAAGTTTAAATTATCTCTTTAACGATCCAGGTATTTTGACTTATGTGGCTGATGGAATGATACAAAGATGCTGGGAAAAAACCACTCTTTGGCTTATTTTTAACTCTTCTATGAAATCCAGGAGTCTAGCTCTCCCAAGATACTAATTCAGAAAGCTTGCTTCTTTGTGTCTTGGAAGAATGTGTGAACCTCATCAAGTGCATTTGACCAAATAATGTTTAATATGTATGTGACCACAGCTGCAGTTGCAATAATGTTGCATAGAAGTTTTGAGAAGCACGTTCTCTAACTGGAAACCAGCGTGTGGGTCAAATGGATGGTCACGTGGTTCCCTCTGACAGTTCGTTCAGGGGTTGCAGGTCTGCATCTTTTAACCTTGCTTGGAGGCACGTGTGCATCCGTTTGCAACACTGTTCTGGTAACGAATAGAGGAGGGATGTTTCAGCACGAAAGGGGTACCAATTCTCACCAGAGAGGATCCATGGATGCTTAATCTTCCTGGCCGCGTTCACATGTTGCGCGAAGCGGTGACCTAATTTATTTGGCTGTGGCTGGATGCAGATGGGGCCCTGAAGAAAGCATGGTGAAGTCAGGACTTAGCATGATGTACAATCCAGCCTGCATGCATGAGGACATTGATGGAGTTGGAGATGAGTACAATTACTATCTGGTCAGGAGCAGAACATGTGATTCGGTGGCTGAGGAGATGCTGCAGAATTAACAAGGGGCTTGGATTCCAGCAGCTAGTTTGATTAAGTGCATTTGACTTTTCCAGAACATCACCAGTCCTGGCGCTGCTAAAATATTTTTAGTAGTTAAGCCCGATGAGTGTTTTTCAAAAAGCCGTCTTTTGTTTTACTATATTTTAACACATTAATTCTGGGTTATGTTTCCCTAGCTGTGAAAAAGAAAAACCCTGCACAATGTGATCCAAATGATCACTTTGATCTCCTGCTGATCATCGCACACCTGGAATGAGTGACTGCGGCCTGTCGCTTCTCCTGTGTTTTGACCATCTGCCTCTTCCAGATTTTGAATGTCACTTTAAAAGTTGTACGTAGCTGGTATTGGGCTGCAGAAAATGGACCTTGGGAGTCCTCTCTTATTACATGGAAACAGAAGTGCCCTTGTTGGTATTTCTTGGTCTATGACATGAACAGCCTGCTGTGACTCATCACGTGAAACCTGTTAAGTGTCAAAGCCAGTATTTTGAAGTAACTTCCTGATCGGGGTGACCCTTAGCTGGGATGGGAGATGGGGAGAAGCTGAACTTTGTCCAGAGCACATTGTTGGCTCTTCTTTCCAACTCCTAGTTCTAAATATATTTGCAGAGCATGTTTGTGAGACACAGCTCTTATGAAGCCATTCGATAGTTCTGAATTGTGTATTTTGTGTGTATTGGCACTCTTCTTAGCTGAAAGATGATCATAGGTCGATCAGATTGGCATGGGCACCTGATAATTTTGGTGACATCTTAGTTAAGGTAACTAGGACGGGAAGGGGCTATAATTGAGCAGAGAGTGGATGAAATGTGTGTGTGTGTGTGTGTTATTTTAAAGCCCATTACCTAGTACAACGTGTATCCTCTGCAGAACAAAACTTAATTTTTATTTCTCTCACACTATGAATTATAGTATCCTGACAAGTTGAAAGTAGCCTTAGAAACTTTAATGCTAAACTTTAATACCACTTTTACCTGTTGCCACAATTTGTGGAGGCATCTTTGATAAGCTGTGATCCTAAAATCTTAAAAATTTAAAAATACAGAAATCTTGTTTTTGAAGTGCTCTTGGCTTAGCACAGGTACACTATAATTTTGACTGCTAGAAGTTTCACAGGCGTAAGCCTTCCAGCATTTAAAAAGGCTACCTGTCATGAATACCGGTGCATTCTTTAAAATTTGCTGATTTCAGCCATTCATTGACATATTTGCCTTTCAGTGCTTAACGTACCTGCTCAGGTTCATGAGGTGGTGTATGTAATACCCAACTGATGTGTAATATAATCAAATCCTTGCTGTCTTTTACATTAATCCAATATTTGTGATGCTAATTAAGTATGCCATTAAACCATTGTGAATAAAAAATATGTCTGCATGAAGTTGTTCTTTTCATAGTTCTGTTAACAGGAGCAATTATGGTTTGTACTAAACGTTAACACCTAAGCCGCCCCTCCACAAGTGTCTTGCATCACAGCGTGGATTAGATTCTATAACCACCAAACTGCATAGATACTCCGCGCTTGGAAAAGCATGACACGTTGGTGTTGTCATACTTGTCCTTTTTACACAATTTATCTGCTGTCCATGGAGAACTGCAAAATTATATTCAATATTCTGTCTGGATCTTCTGAAGTTGTCTCTCACACAAAACTGGAATGTGCCTGGGAAATAAGGCATCAATAATGACTAAGAAGAGTCCAGCAAGTCTGTCTTGACTCCTGGCAAGTATACGGGTATGCCTGGGAGTGGTTTACCACTGCTGCATTCCACTGTCTTTAAACTCCCAGGGTAATCTGTAGCCTCCTGGAGGCCCCCCCCACCCCCCAAAATCAGGGCACTAACCCTGCTTAGCATCACAGTGGCAGGTAGCCATTCTGGGCCGTGATAATTTCATAGTGGTGGGCGTTACCTGCAAAAAGAAGGCGTGTGTATGCAATATGGGTCCTGCTGCCTGTAGCTCTCCTTTGTGCTGGTGTATCTTTTTTGCACAGAGCTTATTAGCAAAGGGTAGTGCTGAGAGTTACTACTCATAAATGTAGTTTTCTTCAACAATAGAGAAAAGCTCTTTTAATTGCTTTAGGAGGCCAAGAGCTCCGGGAGAAGGGAAATCTACAGTATCAAGCATATAAAAGCTAGAACAAACATCAGGAGATTAAGGGCCAGGCATTTTCAACCCATTTTGGAAGAACTCTACTTCAGAGAAATCAAAGAACTACTATTTGTGCTCTGCTGTAGAAACTGACGTAGAAGGGAATCTCATCGAGTCAAACGTTTGTTCTTAAAACGTGCATTCCAATGTTTAGATGTACTTTACATTTATTACTGAGGATTGTCGAAAACGACTGGAACACAGATGCCTTCAGCTCAGTGTCCAGAAAATGATCCACCGAAGAACAATACCACAAGCCGCTGTGGGCATTTCAGCAAAAGGAGCCACTCTTTAAAAGTAGCACCCTATGTCCGTGAGCCAGGCTCTCGTGTCCCACTGTTCCTGCACCGTCCCTCCCCCTTGCTCTGAGGAAGGATTAACTACCTACCTTGATTGTTGATTACTTGTGGTGGGCTAAGGCCATAGATAGCTTTTAAAAATGTCCATGTTACACGCAGAAGTTAGTTTCAGCACACACATTTTATTTACAGTCAAATCAAGCAATGGTCTCAGCACACAAACTGAGCAAAAGTGAACATGCTATGGAGACAAGATCTTCATCTTTGCGGATCAAGCAGCACTTTCCGCCCCCGTCGCTCAGAAGGATGTGGCACGCTCAAGAGCCAGGCTGTCGCAGTGAGATTCGGTGGTCTGGGCGGCTCCACTATGTGCTGTAATGAAGGGGTTCAAGTCTGGTTGCACTACACGGGTATATGCTCAGTTCTACACTCCTCTCAAAGGGACTGCTGTTGCACGGAGCCCTTCATGTGCTCCCAATTGTTATAGAGAGCATAGAGACCTGTGAGCATGAGTCCTGCAATGCCACCTCTTGCTATCCCACGCAATCCACCTGTGGGGAAATAAAGCAGCAGTAAATACAGAGGGATCAGCCAGTATTGCCAGCGTTCAGATACTGGAGCCTTCCCTCAAGAAATGGACCCAGACGCATCTAGAAAGACTGCACGAGAAGCTCATGGGTGAGCAAACTTACTATTAACTTGCAAGGGGAATACCTTCCCAGGATATATAGAAGCTACTTGCTCTTGTTACACCCTTCCTTCCGCCACTCTCTTTAGCAAAAAGACAGGGCTGGTCTTTTGAAGTCTCCTCTTAGAATTCTCTCTTCCAAATCAACTCATGATGATGAAACTGAAGTGGTGGTGATCAGACTCCATCAAAAAAAACCCCAACATTTACTATGCTAATTTGAAAATATAATTTTAGTACTTAGCTATACTAGAAAAGCACTATAGTCTGTCTTTGGGACGGTCCACATGAATTCAGTTATTCCCAGGTTAGTGGATTGCAGTCTGTATATTGTACATCATTAAAATACTGATGCTGATCTTAATCTATTTACTATTAATTAATTACTAGAGAGCCAGTTTGGTATAGTGGTGAAGGCACCAAGCTAGAAACGAGGGGACTGTGAGTTCTAGTCCCACCTTAGGCACAAAGCCAGCTGGGTAATCTTGGGCCAGTCACTTTCTCTCAGCCCTAGGAAGGAGGCAAGGGCAAACTACTTCTGAAAAACCTTGCCAACTGCAGGGACTTTTCCAGGCAGTCTCTGAGAACTGGACACAATTGAACAGATTAAAAAAAAAACCCACAAACCTATAAAATACATCGTAGCGGTGGGGATTCCCGCATATATAACAGTATTTTGTAATAAAGAAGATGTAATAAGAGCAATTCACATCAGGACCTACAGCAGATATATCAAGGTCATTTTGAAGCAGGAAGAGGCGGGGAGTCCATCATCTGTTTTGATGTCAAACATGATAAAAACATTTGCCCAGTGGGGAGAGTTAGAATCTGAAGGGAGGTGCTTTCCAGAAAAATAAAGGGTAGCAAAGTTGAAGCAAATAAACGGTCACAAGTCAATGTTAGAAAGAACAGCCCTTTCTATGGTGCAAAACTCCTTTTCTGCTGTTTCTCATATCCTGAAACCTGGAAACACCAAGGAACTAAGCACCAATGCACAGCCATGTTCCTGAAACACATTAAAAGTATCTAATTTTGGCAAAATAACTGAGTCGATGAGTGGGAAATTTCCAGACTACACTCATAACTCCCTACCCCCCCCTTCCTCCCCCCCCCTCCCCCACCCCCCCTACCTCACTCCCCCCACCACTCTGCTCATCTCCCCCCCCCCTCCCCCACCCCCCCTACC